TGAAAAGTGAACTAACTATAATTAGGTGCTAATTAGGTGCTAATTAAGTGCCCTATTCCTGAATTAAATGCTCCTTTTTTTTTAAATTATTACATGTTTGCCAGGTTCATATGAACTCAGCAGAACACTACCTTAAAAAACCAAGAAAATGAAAAGCGAACTAATTATAATTAGGTACTAATTAGGTGCTAATTAAATGCCCTATCCTCGAATTAAATGCTCCTTTTTTTTTAAATTATTACATGTTTTCCCAGGTTCTTATGAACTCAGCAGAACTCTACCTTTAAAACCCAAGGAAATGAAAAGTGAACTTACTATAATTAGATGCTAATTAGGTGCTAATTAAGTGCCCTATCCTCAAATTAAATGCTCCTTTTTTTAAAAATTATTACATGTTTTGCCAGGTTCGTATGAACTCAGCAGAACACTACCTTTAAAACCCAAGAAAATGAAAAGTGAACTAACTATAATTAGGTGCTAATTAGGTGCTAATTAAGTGCCCTATCGTCGAATTAAATGCTCCTTTAAAAAAAAAATGATTACATGTTTTGCCAGGTTCATATGAACTCAGCAGAACACTACCTTTAAAACCCAAGAAAATGAAAAGTGAACTAACTATAATTAGGTGCTAATTAGGTGCTAATTAAGTGCCCTATCCTCGAATTAAATGCTCCTTTTTTAAAAAATTATTACATATTTTCCCAGGTTCATATGAACTCAGCAGAACACTACCTTTAAAACCAAAGAAAATGAAAAGTGAACTAACTATAATTAGGTGCTAATTAAGTGCCCTATCGTCGAATTAAATGCTCCTTTTTAAAAAAATTATTACATGTTTTGCCAGGTTCATATGAACTCAGCAGAACACTACCTTTAAAACCCAAGAAATTGAAAAATGAACTAATTATAATTAGGTGCTAATTAGGTGCTAATTAAGTGCCCTATCCTCGAATTAAATGCTCCTTTTTTAAAAAAATTATTACATGTTTTGCCAGGTTCATATAAACTCAGCAGAACACTACCTTTAAAACCCAAGAAAATGAAAAGTGAACTAACTATAATTAGGTGCTAATTAAGTGCCCTATCGTCGAATTAAATGCTCCTTTTTAAAAAAATTATTACATGTTTTGCCAGGTTCATATGAACTCAGCAGAACACTACCTTTAAAACCCAAGAAATTGAAAAATGAACTAATTATAATTAGGTGCTAATTAGGTGCTAATTAAGTGCCCTATCCTCGAATTAAATGCTCCTTTTTTAAAAAAATTATTACATGTTTTGCCAGGTTCATATAAACTCAGCAGAACACTGCCTTTAAAACCCAAGAAAATGAAAAGTGAACTTACTATAATTAGGCGCTAATTAGGTGCTAATTAAGTGCCCTATCCTCGAATTAAATGCTCCTTTTTTAGAAAATTATTACATGTTTTCCCAGGTTCATATGAACTCAGCAGAACACTTCCTTTAAAACCCAAGAAAATGAAAAGTGAACTAACTATAATTAGGTGCCAATTAGGTGCTAATTAAGTGCCCTATCCTCGAATTAAATGCTCCTTTTTTTTAAATTATTACATGTTTTCCCAGATTCTTATGAACTCAGCAGAACACTACCTTTAAAACCCAAGAAAATGAAAAGTGAACTAACTATAATTAGGTGCTAATTAAGTGCCCTATCCTCGAATTAAATGCTCCTTTTTTTAAAAAATTATTACATGTTTGTCAGGTTCATATGAACTCAGCAGAACACTCCCTTTAAAACCCAAGAAAATGAAAAGTGAACTAACTATAATTAGGTGCCAATTAGGTGCTAATTAAGTGCCATATCCTCGAATTAAATGCTCCTTTTTTAAAAAATTATTGCATGTTTTCCCAGATTCATATGAACTAAGCAGAACACTACCTCAAAAAACCAAGAAAATGAAAAGTGAACTAATTATAATTAGGTGCTAATTAGGCTCTAATTAAGTGCCCTATCGTCGAACTAAATGCTCCTTTTTTAAAAAATTATTACATGTTTTGCCAGGTTCATATGAACTCAGCAGAACACTACCTTTAAAACCCAAGAAAATGAAAAGTGAACTAATTATAATTAGGTGCTAATTAGGTGCTAATTAAGTGCCCTATACTCGAATTAAATGCTCCTTTTTTAAAAAATTATTACATGTTTTGCCAGGTTCATATGAACTCAGTAGAACACTACCTATAAAACGCAAGAAAATGAAAAGTGAACTAACTATAATTAGGTGCTAATTAGGTGCTAATTAAGTGCCCTATCCTCGAATTAAATGCTCCTTTCTCTTTAAATTTAAAATAGTAGGTACCCTTGGAATTGAGATCATATCACTTTTGCTTTTGTTGTTGAAATGGCAGGTCGATCTTTGTGAAAATTCTAGAGTCAGCACGCTAAAATTGTTTAAATTAATTATGTAAGCGGCTTTACGCGGTGGCTGTATCCTCTTTAGATAAACTTATTTTGGTTGTTAACACGTTTCTTTTTAGATTATGTCATATGTGTTAATTTAATTACCTACTTTTGATTTACCTATATCGCAATCCGAAACCCATTTATTAATGGGATAGGTCAGTTTGAATGAATTGGAATTATGTCTGATTTTGGCATTATAGTTTTTAGATATTTTATACGTATTAAAGAAGGCGAGTAGCTGGAACTGATCTGTTAAATTGTTTTCGCCTCGACTTCTAACACACGCTGCCATAACGATCAGTGTTCGAGTCAGCTACAGGGCTAGAAAAAGCTGTTCTCGAGAACTAACGTTGAGAACAAATTATTTTCATATAATTGAAGGGAATTACTTACAATACCTAACTGCAAAAACGGTGCCCGAAACATGGAAAAATTTATAAAATTAACTCACATTTCCATTAGCAAACATTTTATCGTCGGATACTCTAACCCCTAATAAAATAGAGTACACGCTAATTAATTACCATGAGGTTCAGCAATCCATCATGGGGTTTAATGCGGCGTCTAATAGGACGCAGAATGCACATCCCTTTTAACTCTAATCCGCCTCTTCGTCCTGACAACTCTCATTATACACGCGCGCGGAAATCTCAACCAAGGAAGCGTTAGACATTATCTCTTATTTTTTTGCGCAATTAAATTTAAAATCTAATTCACCTGTTATTATTTCGAAAAAGATAAAAAAAGCGCGATTTTCTTTTGTATTTAGGATAAGTTGCGCTGCAGCTGACATTCACACTGATTGGATGGCAGGTTCGTGTAAAAATACGGGGGTTCGCGGTTTTCGCGTTTACCAAATGTTAATTTTACTTGCCTTTAATTTCCCTCGGGCGGTACCTTACACTTTTATTATAACATTTTTGTTCTGAGATAAAACAATATCAAGTTAGGGGTGTAAGCGAAATTTCATTTGAATTTATAAATGCTTTTGTGCTGGAAAATATTAACCTTGATCTAAAAAAAAACGGCTTCTTTGTAGTCCGCAAATTGCCTGTCTTAATTTCGGTAAAATGTTTATCTTATTTTTAATTTATATTTGGTAAAAAGTTTTTAATTTCCTGTAAATTATAATTAGTGATGCGAAGAGTTGAAAACCTCATTTCACTTGTTTACATTACATTTTTCTGTGAGACGGTAAAATAAAGAGGAATGTTTATTAATTCTTTTAGATTTGTATCGTTAATGAGATTTCTTGTAATTACGTGCCCTCGTTAGTAATACATTTAATTTCTTAAACAAAATTGCTTTTTCAAATTATTTTGAAGCTGGAAAGAGAGCCTTACAAATATTTTGGGGGATGAAAATTGGGTAGCTGGTAGAGCATTGATTAGAAAGTATTCCAACAACTTTGAGTGGTGCCCTCACACAGCAAAAATGGGGTTTCTGTAGGTTGCGATGTTACAATGGGCGATTTTTAAGGCTTGAAACGTTGCAGTTAATTCATTGATTACGTTTTAATAAAATTTTAGAGTTAATTATGTTGTATGGAAATATTGAGTTAATTAAAAATGTCAGCCAACCAATATTTGTTTAAAATTTAGACATGATATAGAGTGGTTCTGAAGGATTGGGAGCTTATTAAAAATCACAAATAATGTATCATAGGCCAGGCAATAACTGCCCCAAAAAATAAATTCCGGCAAAAGGTTCTCACGGTATTAAATCCCCTTCAACAATATATATTACTTGACTATTTGAGCTATTTACCTTCAAATGTTAAAGCAGCTTCAGCGTTGAGTTGTAGCAATTAAATCTACCCCTAACTATTCCTATAGGCTACATTTACGCGCGAAATCTGAAGTTTGGCAACAACTGTCGACTAATAAATGTTTCAATTTCTCACTAATCCCAGCAACGTTTTTGCCGATGTAAGAAAATATAAAAGTGGCGACGTCTTAATGTTATTTGTAAACATCCTGTAGCATGTGTTGTAAAATTCCTCCGTTAGATGTCGCCACTGTCGTCCCCATCCTTTAAAATCCCCCAATCTCCCACCTCTTTGGTGCTTCTCCTTGTCTGTATAAAAGTGTGATGGTTAAGACAAGAGTGCTATTTCTCGTGCAGTGGAGGCACCCATCGGCCTGAAAGATCGTAAAGTGACTTGTGCTTCGGTGTGGATAGTGACGATTATAAGTGGCTCGTCGTCAAATCAAAAAAACCAAACTGGTCGCTACGAAGTTTGCCGCCGCGGACCAATCTCCCAAGTCAAGGCGTTAGCCCCGTGCGGGGGCATTGGGATGCAATGTCGATAACGGTGGCCCTCGGAGATCGGGCGACATCCGAGTGTTGACCCCTTTCCTTCCCGGAGGGCCTAGCAGCCAAGCCCGGAGCAAACGTGCTCTGTCCAGGTGAGACCGCATTTCCGCACTACTCGTGGGAATTGTATGGACCCTTTTTGGGCTCCTCGTTATAGGATAGTAACAAACCAGGCTCTCAAAAGGGGTCTGGTAACGGGATACCTGGTGGTGGATCATCTCCTATTTGAAAAAAGAATAGGGCTGGCGCACAAACGGCGATGGCCAGGAAGCCGCCGGCTCGAGGGTTAAGTCCCAAGGCGGTGTCTAGGTGGGCGGCTCAAGGGGGCAACCGCACGCCAGGAGCTAAGTGTTTCAGTTCGGAGAGAAGGTCTGACTTAAAGCAGCCCGAGAGGAATTCCAGAGGTTCTGGAGCGCCGAAAGTTACGGGTGAAACCGCCTATGGGCAAGTCGCTGCGGCGGGGCTCAGAGTGGCCATCGTTTGGGCATCACACCCCGAAGTGGACATCACTGAGCCTCAGTTGAGGCGAATTATGGTTGCATTGAATGCAATTGTCGACGGGATAGAGGGGGAGCCCTTTCCTCGGCTGGTAAGATTCCGATGGAATTTGCAGGGTGCTATTGGAGCCGAACAACAGGACCAATGGGCCTTGGACTGGTTGGAAAGGACCGTTCTTCTTAATAGGCCCTGGGATGGCACGTCCTTAGGTAAGCAAGCTAATAGCTGTTATTATACGGGCTCCCGGATGACAGGGCCACTATCTTGAAGTACTTCTTCCGCAGGGACGAGCCTATTAGGGTCCTCCTCGCATTTTGTGTCGGTGAGGCATCCTATCAAGCACTCCAGAGGTAAAACTTTCAGACACACGCCTCCCGCATCACAGTCTCTTCCAGGCTCAGTGGCACAAGCAATCGGACTCAGACAGTCCAGAGCTTTTTCTTTTTCTGGGTCTTCTAAGCTTCCAAAACTTAATTGCAGCCAGGTTAACTAATGCGTTACTGGCCTAATTTTTCGTATTTTTATTCCCTAGTTTGTTTTGACCGTTTCTGCCGGTTACCGTCGTTATGGTTTTCAACTGCTAATAAAAGCACCAATTAATCGTCTTTAAACATTTTACCTGTTGCCTGATTAAATTAGAATCGTCCCATATAAACAAGGCGCACAAATTTGATTAATATACTCGCATTTTATCGTAACTAACCACTTCAACTACAAACGCAATGAACGTTTCGCACCCTGGACCACAACGATTTGGTGGTCAAATTTGTTTAACTGCAATTGCGTATCAAGGCATCGATTTCGTATACCTCTATTATTCTTCCAGCAACACTGTTGCGTTTGGCTCTTATCTGCCTGTACACCCATCGCTTACCGGAATGCTCTTCATTTTCTCGCATTTTAGTTTCCGTTTTCTTTGACTATGCAGCGGTACACGCATAAAATGTCCTATGCTAGCAAATTTGTAAATTCTTTCTAAGCCTACAGCGATCCCCTGTTACAGTATCTACACATGTTAAATAGGATTCTATTGACAACTAAAGTTGTGATGCAAACCCAAAAGAAGGTCACTGCACATATGCTCTTAAAAATTATTTTCAGTGTGGAAATTATAGACAAATTCTCCAAAGTTAAAAAATGGTCATAATTTGGTATTAAAAATACAATGACTTGCAGTTTGGGCAGTTTTCAAAATAAGTGAAATAAATTGTATCTTTAAAAAGCTTTATACAAAGATTTTTAATGATGTATAACACATAGGGTGTTGCCATAACATCTTTTGGTTATTTTTTGGCTCCAAGGGAGGGCCCCAAAATTAGCATTTTCGTGCCATTGTGAAAAAATTCCGAAGTTTCGTTTTTTCGAACGTCCAGGTCCAGTTGCCTTCTATCGAAAAAATGGAACTTTTTTTGCATTCTAAGGGCGAGTCTGAAAAAACTCCCTTAGAAATCGATTTCTTGTTTAAATCTTTCACTTTCTTGCTGCGAGAACAAGAGAAAGAATTTGTGAAACAGAGGAGGATTTGAGCTTGTAGCCTGGTAGGAAGTGTGTCACATCCTCTTGTCCTTAGTACGATTATATAAAATATTTACCAATACCGAAGCTCCCTATTCAGGGTAAGGCCTCCCCAGCATAAATTTATCCATTGGTAACACTCGTGGCTGAGGTTGCACCACTACTATAGGAGGACTTTGCAAATGACCAGATGTCCCTACATCTAAATCTAAATAAATTATAAAAGCGATAAACTTTAATCAAGAAAATAATACGCAATACAAACAATTCTAAAAGGAACAATAACATTGAGGCACAAATTCAAGTGAAACAAACCAACTTTGTCCTTATTTGTAAATAAGTAAATAATTGCATTTACTTTTAACACAGCCTCTCTTTTTTACGTTGCAGGATTGAGAGCTTCCTTTAACCATTGAATAAAAAATTTTTTATTCAATGCTTTAACACAGTGTGTTCCTATGGATGTTTCATATACCTACCGTTCTTCTTGTGTTGATTGCGAAAATTCTTACCCACGAAGGTAGGTATTTTGGTATCCGCACTCCATCAGTCAACTGCGACAAAGTGAACAAATGCGGTTATTGTGCATAGTAGACCACATTCGCGAATGTATATTTTATCCATTACACATAGTAAAGATTCTGTCCTCCGTTCTACTCACGATCAACGTGATGAAGGGTTGAAGTAGTGTAACGTGATAGGTAGTTAAGGGTGAGCTGATTTAATTCTGTAACGTGTTCATATCATTGTAATATGTCGATTTTACATGTAAGCTGTAAGAAAATTCCGTATAAAGTTGGTTGTGGTAGTTTCGAAATTAGAACGGAACACATGTTGCATCCAGGCAGTCCTTGCAAGGACGTGACAGTTAACGGACTCGTGCTTCTGAATCCCTAATTGAATTCGAAATCCTTCGGAGTGATATTTTCCCATTATGAGTCAATCCTTATTAAAATGTAGGAAGAACTTGTTACCTTCCTTTCCGAGCATCAATGAAAAGAATGAATATATTATGAGGTTCCTGTGTAAATAAGGAGGGATAATTTAAAATTTTTATTGCGTTCTCCACGTACGCATATAATTCGAACTTTTGTAATAAATTAATTTTCCTCCTAAGAGAGAGGAGCAGTTGCTATGCAAATTCATAAATGTGTAAGTAAGTATAGGGAAAATTCATCGGCTAATGCATTGTGTTATCTATTACAGTTTGTCCTTGCCGAGGCACTAAGGAAGATAAATTAAAAAATATAATTACAAAGCTTCCCTAGAAAAATACGCTACCCCCATCCATAACCACCTACAAATTACATCTGCGGTTCCAAACATTTTTAATTTCATTCGCTTCCGTTTCGTTTTGCGCTCGAATCCTTTGAAATCGTTTCATTTCGAAACAACCCGCATTACTGGCTTGTCCCGAACGATATCAGTTTGGCAATGAATCCTTCTTTGGTTGTCGGGGATGGTGTAAATTTGAATTAGTTTAATCTCCGAACGTCACACGTATGAAGGAAAGGATTGCGACGTGAATACGAAAAGGACATTTTGTCAGCCACTTGTTTATTCTACATAAAACCAGGCTATAAAAATGCATGAGTCTCACGGAAAGGGTAGCGTTTCACCCCAGGGACTAGAAAAAAATCTACATAAAAAATAACCGCGCATAGCGAGGCAATTTCTGCAAACGGGTACCATTAGCGGGGCGGCCATTGTTTAGCGCGCCAAATTAATTTAGTTCCCTACCCCGCGCGCACTTTTTATATTCCCTTCGCTTGATAACTAAGTCTTTGTACTTAGAGGAGCAAAAACAAACCAATTACTTGATCACGAAACGCCAATTTACATTTTTTTAGATTTTCAATGCTAACGAACATAAATTAAAACTGGCAAATTTAAATTTCTTCTCCCGGTGATGTCCGCAAATTTCCAACTGAGCTTTACGTTAAAAAGTAAAAGATTATACAGAAGGAAACTTGAAAAATATTTCAAAGAATAAGTTACTTTGTGGTATAGCAGATCAAACAAAGCAGGAAGGTCCTTTGAGCGGACAAAACATTAATTATATCTTACAAAGAAGCCTGGATAAGGATGGGCCCGGCGAGATTACGCCGTGCTTCCGCCTACTGACTAATTACTGCAGGTGCTTCCCCACCAAACTACCCTTTCAGATGACGGTCCAGAATTTCCATCCCACAGCTATTACTTACGTCATTGACATGTACCCAATAATTCGGTATATTTAAATCTGTGAAGTAGATCTAAATTCGGTTGTCACAGCAAATCAAAGGATCTTTCTAAATGAAGTTATAAATTATATAGCGATTTGATTTAAGCTTCAGTACCTACTTTTCACAGCAGTCACTGTATTTATTTTTGTTTATCGCTTCTATTAGATCACCTTTAATTATCCAGGACGGAAGTTCATTAGAGGTTTACTGCTATTTGACCAGATAACACCGTTTTCACCGTACGAATAGGTCAAATTTTGTACATTTGGCGTACGTAAATATGTTGCACTCCTTGTATGTTGAATACATTATACATGTACAATCATTTTCGGAGTTTTCTGTCTTGCAGTCTTCGGGCATTATAGAACCCGTAGTTTTAGCAGTTACAGTTAAATAGATAACTTGAGATAAAAGACAAATGACTGGAAAAATGCGGTACAGGGATACGAGGAACTTTGGAAAAACGGCCTTTCCATATAAAAATCAACAATTTTGAATTTAAAAGTGTGCATTAATATCCTGTTTGTACGTAATAGGATCCACTTTTTATTTAGATATTGAAAAATTAGTTGCTCTATTTCAGTAATAGGTAAATGGGTATTATTTCTTATAATATGATTAAATTGATTGTACCATTTAGGGACCAAATGGTGACCCTTTGAAATTAAGTTTTCATTGATTTTTACGTTTCAATCGGACCCTGTGTCAACCTTTTTTTTTAAGAATGAAGTACCTATTATTCCTTGTGATATATAATTGTCCTAGAATTATATCTTTTATTAAAATTTTTTTTTTTTGCGAAATAATTATTTATTTGCAATATTGAAATTTTTATAATATAGGTAAGTTACATGTATTTAATAAAAAAAGGTTATTTTATTAAAAAATTGTGAAAATTGCCCATGTGAAGAACAAAATTAAAATCTAATATTTTCAGAAAAATGCGATTTTTAAAAACTCGACCAACTTTTTACGGCATCACTAAACAAAAATGGGCTCTCATCGATTGAACCGAAATGCTACCTCGTAAATATAATATTCATATCAATATTCTAAAAGCTTAGTTTATGCAAAAATGTTTAAATAAGACTACCCTCTTATTTTGCTGTTATGTGTTGTGTTGCATTAATGTTTTTGTTGGTTAGTTTTTGTCTATCATCAAATTATGCATACTATACAATTTCCACATTATAATAGGTAGAGTGTTCAATTGAGGCTTTAAGAGGAGAAGATTGCTAGAACGATCTACAATCGAGATAATAAAATCTCAAAGCTTTCCTAGCCAAACGTACAGAAATTACCTCTATTAGGAATATACAAGGTGTTCATTTGAAAACTTTCCACCACAGATTTATCGAAAACCACTGATTAAAGGAAAAAACACCGAAACACGTCAAAAGATTTGTCAAGGGGGACAACTTTTTAACCAAAAACTAGGTACATCACCCTCTACCCCAGGATTTTAAATGATAGGTGGTATCGAGTAATAGCTTGTTTGAAAGACTTTTCGAAGTCCTTTATTTTGACGTTGGATTTTTTAAAATCGGTCGATTCGTTTTCGAGAAAATTAGAAAAATCTTTATTTAATTTATTGAATCGACCTCCCTTAACTTCTTCAGATAGAAAACAAAAACAAACGAAAATATCACTTATTTGTTGAATTTAATCTGCTGTCAGTTAATTTAATTTAATTTAATTTAACCTGAAAGTTTGGGTGAACTTCGTCAACGCATCATGTTTTTGA